AGTCAACTGCGTTATAAAGATATCAAAATTTAATTTGGATTCTCGGAATTTTCTCTGACTTGGAAGAAAATACACAAAAGAATTGAATAACACATTACAGAGAAGATAAAATCGTATTATTAGATAAAACGAGGTGTTCTCCTTGCTCCGAATTGTATGAAAAGTTTTAATTTAAATGTATTAAGTATATTTCTTAACTTAATTTTGTATTTTTCAAACATATATTTTTTGATCAGTTACGCCATATATGGCTTTAAATAAAAAAAATTAACACTACATAATTGCATGACACTTATTATTGAGCTGATAGAGTGAATGTATTTAATTTAATAATGAGATATCTGTGAGGCATATATGTACAAGCAAATATTGCTACATTAAACAAAGGAAAGGGAGGAATTCAAATTAGGAAATAAAAGATCCTTTTTAAGAAAATCAGTCTTGTAGTACTGCAAAATGGATGCAGTTGTTGAGATTTATGGATGATATGAGCATGCTGTCTGGAATATTTCCATATTAGGTAATTCAATAGCAAAAAAGAGTGAAAAAACCGGTGGTGCTTTTCATGTATTACATGTGTATTTTAAAATTCCTAATAGCCCAGGGGGATTCCTCAGTGCAGAAAACCACTAGCCCCATCCTCAAAAATGGAAGCCCCGGGTGTAGCGCGATGCTAATTACACACCCATCATGTGAAATAGTTATAGTATCCCTATATCAATTTCAGTATTGTTTTAAATTAATTAAAACAAATGACAAAAGCAATAATTTAAAAAGAAAATCAAAATAAAGCAGACACTCAGTCAAAAAGACAGAAAGAAGCACTGTTTTGACTGAAAGTTTTTCAGTAATACAATGAATCTCTTAAGTTACATATCAGGTGAGATAAACTTACATACAATTATTTAGTTGTTGTCAATTACCCCATTTATCATCATCTCAGCTCACTTTGCGATTGTAATACTGTCTACATGAACCGATAATTTACAGCTGATTTATGAACACACGATTGTTAAAATTTTCATTTCCCTTTCCAATATATATTGTCAGAACATACTTAGTTGGTTATGATATAAAATTAAATAATAAACATTTTCGATTTATTAAAGATTATCTAACAATATACGATCATTTACTAAATACTTCTCGTCCTCAAGAGAGTTAAAAAGACAGAGAAAATTCAAAATACAAACAAGTGCAACTTAGGATTAATTGTTCCGATATATCTATTTTAATTTTGTGCACAATTGTTTTCAAAATTACATTAAAATCTATTTTCCTTAAACAAGAACCCAGCAATGGATAAATATTAATCGAATAAACTTACCTGTTTTCTTGTCAACCAGAAAATCTTGTTGACATTTAGTGTTTCTTAGTCGCCATATTTCTTTCCCATGAAAACAAACGTTGTTATGATCAGGATCAACGGAAGTTGAATTTCGGAACTCTCGAGAATTTAGAGTTCCGAATGTAAAACTGAAACAACAGAACACGGTGCGTCCGTGAAAGCAACTTTTTTGGACACTTTTTTGGACAAATCGTCGTGTCCAAGTTTTGTTGGGTACTAACCTGCAAATACCCAATTAGGGTATTTTAAGCATATTCAGCGGCACTTCTTATTGGGTATACCCAATAAGCAAAAAGTACCTAATAAGTACAATCTTGGCATGAAAACTACCCAATAAATGCACTCTCGTAAACACGGACAGACAGACAGACAGAAGGACGGACGACGGACACCTTACTATCGCATAAGCTCTTCTGGTCTCTGACCAGTAGAGCTAAAAATGCCATCTAAAGGTACAATGTTTCTGATATGTTCAAGAGGCCCATGTTTTTAATGTTACAATTTTTAATCTACTTTTTACATTCCATCCAGGGCTCATATTTGTTTAGAAATCCAAATCTATAAAAAGGAGTGTTTGACCTTGATATTCATTAAAAGACTTTTTTTTTTATTCCCATGTAAAATTCTCATTATTGTGTCCCAACTCTTGTCTCGATAGCCATTTATTATTCATAAATATTTCATGTTAATATGTAATTTTCATACCGGGGCCCAGACCTTAAGTGTACGCAGCCCAAGGATGCTTGCAGATTAATAAGAATATTCATGTTACTTTGTCCTGGTTTCTTTCACTATATAATAATAATTTTCATTGCCAATGAATGTTTGACTCATAATTAGAAAAAAGAACATGCACTGTCGAAAGAGAAAAAAAAACATCTGACCTAACATTAAAAATTCTCATATTCATAACTTATGAAGTGTGTATGTACATGTAGTATATCGCTGTATGATATTTAATTGAAGTCCCATGTTGTCAACTGCTACGTCTGTGCTGTCCTCTCTAATTGTTGGGATTTTTTCCTGTTATTTATCTGTGCTAGACGTTCACATATTGAAGATTGAAAGTCCATACCCAAACGAATATCATCAATATCAAAATGTCTCTCAACCATTTTGTCTAGTCTTTTTATTTAACTTTAAAATCTATTTGATGGATTAACATTTATTCTTATAATTATTGGATATTTGTGCTTCTAGTTTCCTATATTACGAGGGATGATCAAAAAGTTCGCAAACCATCTCTATATCTACAAAACCACAATTCAGATTGGAAGAAATTCGGTACACACATAGCCAAACACAAGTTCTATAAATAGCATATGCTTAATAAAGGTTTTCTCCTCGTTTGTGACGTCATAATGTGAAAATGACGTCACTATTTAGGTCACTTGTGGCGAAAAATGGTTGTCTCAGTCGAACTCGTTCAACAAACGACTGTACAATTTATTGTATATCTTAGAAATCCCTCTACAGTATCATATAGTAATTTGTACACAGTTTATTGGGAAAAATGAGTTCCTATAAATTCAATTAATGATTGGATTAATCGTTTTAGTGAAGGAAGGCTGATGGTTAAAAATGATACTTGTCATCTTGCCCAGTGAAAGCAAGTTTGAAAAGATATGTGTTTTTAATTTAGCAATTTGCTATCAAACACCTCCAAATAGCACTTTGAAAAATAGTTGAATATTTGAACAATGATATAAGTACTAAATACCTAAGATATCGTTTACTTTAGATTTTAAACATATTAGATATGACAAAAAGGGTGCACCCATTCTCTATCCACCTTGCATAAAGGTCTCTCCAGAGACAGAAGATTTGTGTTTTAATGGTCGCCATGCTTATTTTTTGGAAAGGATATTATTATCCACCCATTCTGTTGCCGAGATATGGTCAACAATTTCTGACAAATGAACTGTTCTTGTCATAAAAATTAACTCACATGGAAAGAAATATGAAACTCTAAAAATCTTTCAACTTTTGTGACAGAACGGAGGGGGTCGCGTGACCTCCAATATCACGCGATTCGCGCATGCGCGGAACGGTGGTTGTTGTTCATTAAAATCGGGGAGGATTAATTTAAAATAAATCAAAATAAAAAACCAAATATTTTTTCTTGTATGGAAGTTATTCAATTAGTTTGCGAACTTTTTGGTCACCCCTCGTACAGGCATTTGATCACCTTTTCACGACGGTTTTCAAAATTTAATAATAAATTGATACTTATATTCCAGAGATGAGATGATGTAATGTGTCAGGGTAATTGACAGTAACTTATTACAAATTTGTATGTAATTGAAAGTGTAATGGACCAAATTTTCAATGACTTGTTATTGTAATTTTACCTATTGGCTTTGAGAAAATGCATTATTTTTTAAAAATACACTCAATTACACTGTTTTTTAATGAATGAAAAATAGCCTTCCCCTCCTTCACACCCCCCATGCACACTATTCAAGAAAGCTAAACTGATATATTGGACTAGCTCTGCTGATTGTTAATTCTTTTAAAGGAATACACATATTTCTCCTTTTTTTGTGAATTGCTGTTTCCTTTTACTGCATTTTCTTTAATACTCTGAAAAAAATATTTTTGAGTGTATGATTTAACAATTAATTTGATTATTTTGATTAAGTTGTTTATGAATTGGCAGTTAAAATACGCAATCCAACATTCTCTAGTCCTCTATTTGCCATATCTGTTTGTAAATTGTGTTAGACGTGATTAACAGCTAGGTGCTAATTAGTGCCCTAAGGCAATGAGTATACTCATGAGCATACGCTGGACATCAATAAATATACCTTTGCATTCATTGTGGATTGACCCATAATATGTCTTACACTTACTTCCAGAGATAGCATAATGGGGCTCTCTTAGCCGTCACAACATGGCGTAGTTCCATAGAAACACCATTTTGGTCCCAAAATAATCTGATTTAAATTCACTAAACACCGATAAATCATCGTTAATTTAATAATAACATTTCAAAAACATTGTAATGGTAATGGCAATAAATTTGAAGTCTTTGGGCAAGTAATGTATTTAATTAATTACTTTCATATGTTATTGACCCCATCTCTTTTTTAAGTTCAAGAACGTTGCTGAGATTCGTTTATTAAAGGATACATGAGAAATAAATTCATAAGTTGTAGATTTTACACACAGTTATCCATGATAATAAACCAGAATATAGTTGGGTATTCTTTTGAAATAATATTTCTAAAATTTTATCTAATCCCCAGAAGCAGAGGAGAAGATTTTCGAAGATTTAATGCATTTTCATTGTATAATCAATAGAGTCCAAACACCAGAACCCCTTACCCTGAGGCCATGAAATTCACAATTTCGGTAGTCGCTGCTTACTACAATTGTTTCAACAGTTTGAATGACTGATGCCAAGGAGTAAAGAAGCCCTTTAAAGATTGCATTAAATTTCATTGTTTTGGTCCCATCCTTCAGGCCTCAGGGGGACAGAGACTACAAACTTCATAATTTTGTTTCCCTTCACCAATAGATGCTTTTTGCCAAAACCGGTTGAAATTGGATGAGCGTTTGTAGAGAGGATGCTGAAAACGCACCAAAATGGGACAAAGTTAAAGCATCAAATTAAAATAAGGTGGAATATAATGGAAGAATAAAACTTTACCTCTTGAATTCCGTCATGTAGGAGACGAATTCCTGAATCATTATCATCACCAGTGAGTATGAAATATACATTAGATTTAGTACCCGCTCCTCTCCGGAATCCAGTGTATACACTTATCATATAGAAGTACGTATGCCTTGTGTCATGGTCGCAGAGGAATGTTACCACCTGCTGAAAAATTCTTGAAATATTTATTTAGTTTATGGATTAGTATACGTGTATTTACCGGCAAAATTTTTTTCTTGAAACTTTTTTTCAAATAATCCTTGGTACGCATGTTTTCAAATGTAATCATTTGATAAACTTGAATAGGACACAATACGAATTGTCATACAAAGATTTTAATTGAATTTTAAATTAGTAATGGATCTTTACCCTTTGATAGTCTTTTTTATCCTGTATTCGAAGCACAATAACTATTAATATATAAATAACAAAGACAGCAGTCAGTGTGCCATATACTGCAGCATTTGAGCCGTCGAATTTACTCCAAACTGTTAGAAAATCGATTACGTTAGCTGGCACATAGAAGGATGTAGAAAAGGTATCGCCAACACACCGACACACCGTGTTATTCAAATCACTCATCGGCAGCACCTGAAAGAAATACAGTTCCTACATTTCATAAATCTAATAACAAAACAAATTATTTTGATCATTTGAATTTAATTGATTTTTTTCGTATATTTATTACCTTTTAGAGAATTATAATTCTAATGTGATAACACAATAAATTGATTTCGAGCTTTATTAGCTTTATGAAGAATTATGATTTATGCCCTTTTCTAATTTTATCTTATACTCATTTTGCGAAGCCTTTAGTATTGAGTACTGCTTTAAGATTACAAATCTGCTTTGCACTAGAACACTTAGTTGGAATGCTTGTATAAACGTTTAAAAACGTATATTTTCTTACCAATAAATTGTAAACTCTTACAAAATGTTAAAATAAAACGATGACTCCTCCTTTTGTGTAAAAATGAAAATTGGATAAATCCTCAACTCAAAAAGTACTAGATACTATGACAAATGGTATACCAGTTTAACAAGTAAATATTTTAATTGATATATTTCAATTTGAAAATGACTTGAAAACTCATCGCACGCTTGATGTTAATATGTCCTTCACAAGCTGAAGACAAAAAAGATTAAGGATGACAAAGCTTTTTTGTAAATCGAAGAAAATACCAGAAAGATCACCCCTCAGCTGATTTGAGATACCTTGAATAACTGTTTAAGGACATAAGTTATAGATCAGGCCTCATAATAAACATTTTGAAAAAATTGATGACCTGTAAGAGAGTGAATATCAAATGATTGATTTGTTTATTGTCATTTGACGTTCCTAGCTAGGACTTTTTCATTTATGTTTTAGAGGGTATTTTTTAAAGGGCTAATGGTTATCGTGGGAAGAGGCCTCAACATTTACGTTCTCTACCAATAACTCCGTCCCTATACTAATGAAGCTCCTGAATAAAATGATAGTTTTCACTGTAACTGAAAATTTACTTTAATATTCCTGTGAACTTTGAGAGTTTAAAGAAAACAAATCAAAAAGAATATAAAAATAAGGTTGAACAAAAAGGAACTCATAAATGCAATTAGATAAAAAATAAAACAAGTTAACAACAGTTAACAATTGATACCAGACATCTCTCCATTGTCCATGAGTTGTTTCCTTTTTCCCAAGTTCTACATCCTGTTGTTGTAAATATCATACTGAAGTTAGCCTCAGCTAGGACAAAATCCGAAGCATTAAATTTGGAGGTCGTGTTCTCTGGTTGTTCAATAGTTGCTTGTTCTGCTGCTCTCCTTTTTCTTGTTCCAGAGAAATCATCGGTGTCGGGGGCTACAAACAATAATTTTATACCGTTATTGAATTTTGATACATCAACACTGTTTCTTTTTTCACATTAAAAAGGTTTTAAACAAATACATTGCCTCATTCATTTATTGCCTTTTATGTTTCCGCCAGAATTTCATTCTGGCATATATTTTTATCAAAACAGAATATAATCAACCATAATGGAGTTTAACCCGAATTGATGAAAATTTTGTCTCGCTTATACACACAGTAACATGTACAAAATACCAATCACACAGGTTTATAAATCTAGTGTTCTACAGTTCTTTGAATTAGTCCTTTCTATTTGAATACGAGAACACTTCAGAATAAAATTACTTTATAAAATCCGTTAATTAAGTATAGGTTCATGTAGTAATACATCAATATGTGTTATGTTTAAAGGAAAGTGTAAATCGTACACCTCATTTTAGGACTATTGCTTTTATGGCAGTAGGCGCACAGCATACGGTGACGTCTCCATATGAGTGAAAAATTCTCGAGAAGACGTTAAGCAATATACAATCAATCAGTAGGCGCATAATTTACCTGTGAGTGGTTTTATGCCAAGATAACACAGTCCTTCCCCACATATACCTCCTGGAAGAAACACCTTAAATCCATATCCTGTCCAATCATCGACACCAAGCACCTTCTTGTAATCAAACAAATCAGATTTTGGAAAAGTAGCTGAACTAAAATAAAACGAATATAAAGGCACCTCTTGATGACCCAAGAAGTCAAATTCATCAGGTTTGATGTAGATGAGCACTGCATCTCCACCATTTATTATTTCAAAAGCAAAATAAATCATCTGTTCTGGATATCGTGGATTGATCAGAGGAATATATCTCTTAAATTCCAGATTCCCTTTATTCGGAATATTGGTGTCCACAGATATGTTTTGAGGAATATTAATCACTGGAACGGAAGAAGTGGCCTTGGTTGCATTCTCTCCATATATGTAGGGGTTTCTTAAGTAGTTAGACACCTAAGTACAAAAATAATCAAAACAGTTATTATTTTCTTGTTAACTTCACTTTCCTTAAGACACTTTTCAATTTCACTTAAACTAATCCAGATGTACGCTGATATCATTTTCATAATAATGCAATGTTGATATTAAATTTTACGCATAATAAAATAATATTAGATTTAATATCAGGAAATACCGCAAATTCCAGGTAGGATGCATGGGTGATTGAGTCATTCACTTCATGTACACGTCTAAAAAACTCATCTGTGACATTTTCAAGATCGTTGAAGGGGATCTTCCTGATCATTATTTCCAGTACATGATTAGCATTCCAATAAAATCGTTCGCCCAAAACAATAGTTTTTTGCATGACATTTAAAAAGACGGACTGGATTTGTTTTATAATTGGGATACATTTTCTTGCCTGAAATAATTGTAAAATAAATATTTTTTCTTCCAATGCAATATGCAATGCAATAAATTAAATCAAAACAAATGAAAAATATTTCTTTCATTTCATACTGTAGCTGTCAAAAATGGTAAACAAGTAGAACTAATCAAAATTACCATTTGTAATATTTCTATCTAAAATTGGTAAGAAAGCATTACTTTTTTCTCTAGCCGTGTTTGTTTTAATGTTGGACAGCAAATTTTGTAAAGGTTACTAATTAGCTTATTTGTAAATATTATTAATTTCATACCGTTTCTCTCTGCTGAAGTTGAAACTGTCGCTCATGTGCTTGTATTTGATAAATAAAATCGACTTGTCTATTTATGCTTTGATAGTCTAAAGTTATGTTTCTTTGATTTTGTTTTAACAGGCTGGTTTCTTGTAGAAAGAACTTGATGTGCAACATGATTTCCGCTCTTATATCATCTTCGGAAAGTTCTACATCCAAGTTCTGAAGTTTCCTCGGTAGCATCTTGTTCAAGACATTGTCCAATACACGATGATAAACTATCATGAACATTTTGAAATTATTTAGATTTTAGAGAATAATAAGCAGCTATTAAAAATGCTTAGAACGGATTACAGAATTTTCTATGAACAAAAATAATTCTCTTTTTGTTTTTTAATTCATTCATTTATTTATGGATTTAAAATCATTTTGTATAATTAGCCCTCAGTGACCCTAGGCACATTTGAAAATGGTCTAGTCAGAAATATGAAAGATGGAGTATTTCAAGAAAAAAAAAACAATTTGTGAAAGTATATTTTTACATGTATATATCTAGAAGTAAAATTAATTTGATTTTTTTAAAGACTTTAAACATGTTAAGTTGGGGGTCTTTAAAATCTTAACAGTCTACAGCCTTACCAATAGCAATATCTGATAAACTTTCTACTGCCGTCGGAGATAAAGGATTTCTCCTGCTGCCATATTCCAAACAATCAATTACAGTGTCCACAATGACCACCATTATCTTCTGTTTAAAATGGATTCATTTGTATAAGTTTATTAACATTTAGTTATAAATTTTGAAATGTACATAATAACAATATTTATTTCATGACTTATCTCTGATTTTAACAAGAGAAATTGATGTTATAAGACAGAATTTACAGATAATTCTGAAAAGTGAGAACCACAAACCACTCCCTCCAAAGACAAATACGGTTCAAAGCGAGTCAGAGCATCAAAGGTGCTGAAGATCTGCTGTATGTCTGTTAATTTGAATCTGTCGATGGAATTTGTACAGCCAGGGGTAACAATGCTTTTGACCAGCTGAAGAAGCTTCACAGTTTTCTGTTTTGAAATAAGAAATGCTTGTTAGGATTTGTAAAAGTAAACAATAATATGAAGTCCATGTATATTATTCTATTTACAGCCTACCTCTTGATAAACAACAAACACAGGTCCCCCTCCGGATGTGTCGATATTAATGGACTCTGTATCACCGTTTACCTCTACTTCAGATGTTGTTTGGTCAATCTTAAAAAAAATTAATAATATGAAAGTAGAAACTTTAAATATCTGACTCTTTCCTTAGAAAACACCTCCGTATAAAGTTTTAAACAAATGTTCAATGTGTATTTAGTAAGCAAGAAGTCATGAGATCAAGTACGTACAAAGGGAAATCGTTTGAAACCGGCTGCAACAGCTCCCAATAAATTCAAGGTCTGAATGTCATTTCCTGACAGATTGTACTTGTTGAACTTTGAATCAAAGTTTTGAAACGAGGACTCAATTGTGGAAACATCTTCTAAATCTTTAGGTTGAGAGATGATAGGCGGGATGACCTGTATAGGTAAAGCGTCACACTTCACATATGTATAAATTCTTGCACAAAACAGAATGCTTTGTTTAGTAGTAAAATCAGTCAAAATAGAGTGATTCTGAGTGTTATTGGTCTAAACAATTGCATTTGGATATATGAAAAAGAAATTAATGTAACAAGGCGTTACTGTAATATTTGAAGAATATTGTCCATAATCTCCATAGATGTCGAAAATCCGAACTCGGACGGTAACTGTGTGATTGAAAACTGGATCTCCTGGCTGTACAGGGACTTCTAAGATGCGACTCTCGCCTTAAACAAAGGTAACAATATATTCTTCTGCGCGAATAAACAACATTAAGGTGGCTAGGTAAGCTATGAATCAATGTTTTACAGTTTTTTAGATGGGCACCATTACAACTGATGTGTGTTCCACAAAACTCAAAGTCGATGACATGCTACAAATGTACAGGCTTTAAAATATTTCTCCCTTTCTGATCCCAAGTGCTTTTGTTTGGGGGGATCAGTCGGAGGGGGTAAAATCAGGAAACTGGTCGTGAAAGTCTTTGAATTGCTTTACATCTAAGAATTTTTTTATTGCTATGTCATAGTTTATAATACGCATATCAATTTTTTTCTTCTAAAAACTTAAGAAACACAAAAATTGAAAAATATCTGTATACCGTATAACAAGTTTTATAAATCCGTAAAATTTAAACGCGTAAAATTCATACATAATTTTACAAAAAAACGGTTCATGTTAATTTTCAACATCATATGCATAAAAGTAATGCTAATTGCCATTAAGATCACTCCCTGGAGGCTATATAATTAGTGTACTGTTGGTATTATGAGCACTTTTAAATCAATCATCAATTGTGATCATACGGGTAAATCTCAAATTACTTGTATGAATTATACAATCACCGTCAATTAGTTAATCAGTTAAGACATACCTGGTTACTACTTTTTAGTATTTTTATGAGACGCATAATTTTCAATGATGACATATGTATTACAAGTCTTCCATTTTTACCCGTGTCTCAAATCTTTAACCCTTTTTTCTTTTTCATGTGCTTTGAATAAAACTTTTAATACGCTGTGTGTCAATTAAATTATGATAGTTTGAGTTGTCTCTCTTTGATTTCGGTAAACACAAGACGAGCATGTAGTGTTTGTGTCTTTATAAAACACGACTAAAGGAAAATGACGAAACATTATACAATGTATTTGAATTATATAAATGTTATGATTTTAGAAATTGAACTCTGTCTCTCTCTTACATCGGGTTTTCGGACACATTTCTATGTAAACGCATTCGAAGTGCTATTAATAATTGATCTGGGATTTTACCTCTGATGATTTTTGTTTTCACGGACATGTTCTATTCGTAAAAAAATAAAGCGTAAAACGTAAAAATTTATATCACCCTATCTGGACCAAACTTCGTTTTTCAAACAAAATCTAGTATACATTTTTTTGAAGTCAAAGAAGAAGTCTTTTGGACAAAACATCCAAGCGATAAAAAAATATACTGAAAGGAAAAAGAAACGCATAATAGCATAATAGAGAAATATATTTGACTATAAGGCCGAAAATTATGAAAATTGGTCAAATGTGTATTTTGATTACTGTGCACTAAAATTGCTGGTCAAAATTACTCAACCATGAAATGTATGGCGTCACGTAGGGGAAATTACAAAAAGCCAAAAACACGTGCATCTTGATGATGACAATTTTTTGATCACATTTTGTGGTCATAAACGATGCATTGAAGTTATAGACATCGTTTTCCGCATTTGAAATCAGTATAAATTTCGTGCAATCATGGTATGGCTGACGGAAGTTACAATGGTTCCAGTTATTGAATTGCGTAAGTGAATGAAAAGGCAACAAGATGTTGCTGTGCAGTTTGTTTTAAACTTTTCAACAAGAAAGGGTTTTTCAGTTGTCAGAGAGTAAATTAAAAGGTTTCAAACCAACCATGGCGGTGACGTTGACGCGTAACAACGTCACATCAAGACAGGGCTTTTCATCATGTCACCTCGGTTGTTGTCAAGGTATTATCACTGAAACCGATATTTATACAGCAAACTATCATACCAATATTTTCACCCTAGAATTGACAGAAATTCTCTGCTCTAATTTGGTCCGCGAGCTTGGCAACTTTTACGTCGATTTTACTCTCACGCGCGCACGTACACGTCGTGTGCGTAATGTTTTTAGCATGTTCACACTGGGAAAATGTAGCCAGTGTTTGTCGAGACTTTATCACAAACATTCACATGTTCCAAACCAGCTGGATCCTGTAAATTCTATCCTAAAATGAAAATTCGTGGCACTCATTTGGCGGGGGGATTTGTTGGCTTTGGAATAATACAGCTTCTATCAACCATGAAGACTATTGTCGGAAGAGTTGAATAATAATCAAATGAGAAAGATAAATGCTCTGGTGAACTCAATGCACAGGAAAATCAAGGCTGGTACCAATGTGCAAGGGAGATTATGAGAATTTTTATTTTAATTTTGGGGGTATCGACATATCAATTTCAACTAGTGCTAATTGTAACGGGGACCGTTACAGATGTTCTCCCAAACGCTCCCTAACTCCCTTTTGGTGCCATATTCCCTGTAAGCTTCATTAAATAAGACAAACTCGATGCATTTGAGACTTTAACAACGTTTTCCCAGAAGTGTACAAAGTTCATTCAAATTTTAGCATTGTACGCGTGCGCTTGT